TCTTAGTTATATCTTAATATTAATCGTAGAACAACGTTCTACCTAATTTGCTGTGAAAAATATCTATTCGTGTGGAATCAGAATGGATTATCGACAAAGAATCAGGTCGAACTTGGCAAACCATCAGGTTTATAGACAACTGAGTTCACAGGCCTCATTTTAGCAAAAAGTTGTAAGTAATGCACCACAGGTTAGCATAAGTGTCATATTATTAAGTTGTCATATTAAACTCATAATATGCCTTAATGTTGAGGTGGCTGTTAGGTTTAGTTTTTATGTGTCCAGTACCTAGTATAGGCCTAGGTAAACTTTAACTTAGGCCTACCTTATTCAGTGCAACAAAATAAACTAGCCTAGGCCTAGTTCCAATTTTAACGATTTTCTACTCATTGAAGTGTTAAATTTGGAGTTGTGAAGTATTTAGCCAGTATGTTACTTCACAAATTGTGTACGGTACGGTAAGTTTAGGCCTTGATAGCCTAGGCCTATGACTAGGCCTACAAGTAAAGCAAACCTTGATTGGATTTGTAAATTAATGATGAGATTCGATTGCAATTAAGTCAATTTTTAGTACCGGTAGCCTAACTTTTGTTCAGCGTAGGTTCCGTTTGGGGCTACATTTGGGTACAGTTTCCGATTGAAACTATCAAATGGAAAATATTGATTAATAATCGATTTTGAAATATATCTAGGCCTATTTTATAATTAAACTATCATGACCTAACCTAACCAACCAAACTTGCTGATGGTGAAAAAATCGCATGAAGGCTTACTAATCGAATCGATAGTTTCAATCAATATTAGCATAGCCCAGTTAAGAAACTGTACCCGCCTACTTAACTTATGCCTAGATCAAAAGTAACTTAGGCTTAAACATCAAAATGCAAAACTACCTAATGAATAAGTTAGAGCCTACACAAAAACATTGTTTTTCATTTGAATGGGCGGCTATTTTTATTCACAGATTGTTTCGTTAAGTAAATTATCTTAGGCCGGACTAACTTAACTTAACTTGATGTTTGGTTATGTTTGCTGTTGTATTTTATAATAAGAAGCCTACTAAGTTAGCCCTGATTATGTAAATAATATGATAAATAGGTCTTAGCTTAAGTGCTAAGGTAGGCCTAAGGCAGAGAACCCATGATGGGTTACATTAACGGATTAAATATTAAAATAGTCTACTTCGATATAACTTAGGCCTAACTATCGATTAACATGTTTCAATCGATATAAATATTGAATTTCAATATTGATTTTCGTTTACAGTAAGTTATGGCGTTTAGGTTAGGTTACCTACCTAGTTTAGTTTATGAAACTTATTAAAAAACTATATGAATAGGCCTACAAATTGATGTCTTTGTGATTGTAATCTGTTAAACAAACCAAAGTAATATCAACTCTAATACCTACCAACAATTTTACTTTGATTGCTACTATCATAAACTAAACTAAAACAACCTAACCGCCGCAGAATGTGTGGAAAAAGTCTTCTTGAAACAACAATATTGATACAATTGTTACAATGGATATTTACATGAAAGCAAACTCATCCGATACAATATAACTACAGAATATAGTAGGTTCTCTACGGAACTGCACCCTTGGAAGTGCCAACATGAAAAAAGTACGGTAACAAGAAAGATAGGCTATAACATTTTTTTTTTAGTCTTTTTATTTTAAGTCCCTATAACTGAGTATTTAAGTAGGCCTACCTATTTAACTTTATTTATGGCCTTTGAAATGATTTTTCATTATACTTATATAAGTTACGTAGCCTATTACAGTAATATTTTAAGATGGCCGCTTAAGTTAACCTGAATTGGGATAAAACTAGATTACCTATTAGGTCCTATATTGATTCTAAATGGTGTAGGCCTATTGCCAGGTTATTTTACAAAATCAAGTTTTAATTTGATTATTGAGATATGTACAATCTCATTTCTATTCAATATAAATCTAGCCTAGCCCGCATTAGGAACTGCGCAGCTTATGCGGCTATACATTAAAAATAATGGAGTTGTTCAAGTCTGCACATGTACATTGAAAGCGAATTAGCCCAAACTTAAAGACAACCCAACATAAAGGCCAAGCTGAGCTCTGGAGATACAAATATACTTACATCAGCTCACCATTTTTTATAGTTGTAACTTGTCTGTTTCAGGTAAAAAAAACTTTATGACAACTACTGTACTACATTTATATTCTAAAGACCATTGTGTTAATACTATAAATCTGACATTATTAATTTGATTAATAATTATAACCCCGACAAATTAGATTCATTGGATATTTTGATTGTTTAATTTTTTACATTTTCAATATAAAATTAAATTTAGTATTGTAGGGTATTATCAATAGTATTCTTTTTGGTGATTTTACTTTTTCATACAACTTTTATTGTAATTTTGCAAAAAAATAATTTATTACCTAACCTTGATTTTTGTTAACATAATTTGTATTTTAGCATATGTAATTTTCAAATACAAATTGTTTATTGCTAAAGGTGTCTTATTAATTCATCTTCCATATTGGTTCAATTCTCACTACTGTATGATCCAGATACTGGTCCAGTATTGGCCAGGTTCTGGCCCAGTACTGCCCAGGTTCTGGTCCAGTAATGCCCAGGTTCTGGTCCAGTCCTTCCCAGGTTCTGGCCCAGTACTACCCAGGTTCTGGCCCAGTACTGCCCAGGTTCTGGCCCAGTACTGCCCAGGTTCTGGCCCAGTACTGCCCAGGTTCTGGCCCAGTACTGCCCAGGTTCTGGCCCAGTAATGCCCAGGTTCTGGCCAGTACTGCCCAGGTTCTGGCCCAGTACTTCCCAGGTTCTGGCCCAGTACTTCCCAGGTTCTGGCCAGTACTGGCCAGTTCTTGCCAATTTTGGAAGTGCCCAGAACCTGGGCCAGAAAATTTTTTTACTGGCCCAGAAAATTTTTTTCCACATGGGAATAGCTCATTTATTTTCTTCTCACTCTCTGTATTCCTTTATTCTTCTTTGCGTTATCTTCATTTGCATTCATTGTCTCACCCTGCCATTGCATTACTCGTTCTAATGTTTGTTTGTATAACTTTTGTTTGCATAGTTGCATATTTGATTTTATATCTGTATTGTCTCATTATACAGCAGCATGTAACTTGATGATTGGAACTTATTATTGTCTCATGATTTTGTTGAGTCTGTATTAATGTATTATTAAGAGAGTTTTCATCATCTTTCGGCAACATTGTACTTGCATGTCAACGACTCATTAAACTGCAAAATCTTTATTGTAAATAGATTATAGTTGTAATTTTGTTATTAATTTATTGATATTATTGTTGTTATTTATTTAAAATCTAGCTGTCTTGATTGTTATCATTACTTACATTGTTAAAAATGGTGGAACCGTTGATAATAAATAAATAAATAAATAAATAAACCATCACGACATCGTAAAACTTCATCGCGATCAATAGCAGCATATCTGTGTTCACCCTCCGCCCTCGATCGTGGTTTGTACTTGACGCAACGCGACGCGACATGAAAATAACACATTAAGTAGGCTTACAGACAGCTGAAAAAGACTGTCTTCTCTAAAATAACTGATCGTTTATTTTAAAAATGACGTAGCCTAATCAAGCAGATGATTGGTACCCGTCTAAAAAATGACGAATGTAGTAAACATTATAAGGGGAATTTGTCCGTATCACACAAAACTGGGGTGTTGAACGTTAGATAATTTATTATTGCATTTTCAAGGTAATTTTAAAGGCAAATTTGAATTTTTCCAACACTTCAGTATCAGTTTACCGAGATAATTCTTTTGATTAGTTTATATCTGCATATGGATTGCAGAGACAAATTAGTTAACTGTGGGCTAAACGTTTTAAAAAGAGAATCTTATCTTTTATATAGCTCAAAAATGTCTCGTAGCATTTTATACCAAAACCGTTTGTGGGGGAGAGCCTTTTCTCCAACCCTTCAAAGATATCGGCTTGGCGTGCAACTCCCCCCTCCACCACGTTGCGAGCAAATGACCTGCCGGCAGCCTCACTTGAATCTGTACGGTAACCTGGTATCTATCTAGAATATCTTGCCGTATATATAGAAGACCATCTAGGTAGGCCTACTTAATAGCAAGAACATAACTGAATTCAAATTGGTAATTTATGATAACGCGCTCCTCTGTTAACATCTTCATAACGACGCCGGGTACCCGTGATTGTTGCCACGCAATCTGCGGGATATTGAATTGTCGTGCGGCAACGTCGTGACGATAACTGCCGCGCCGTGAAGGCGAACCACAATGACCACAGAAAAGTATCATAGATGCACACTGCACAGTATATTCGTACGGCTATTTCCACTCTGAGTACAGGAAATAATGCAAAACAGCTATAATAAGAAACAATGTTTTGAATAAATTAATTCAAAGCATATAACAGGACTATAAGTTAAATTATTTCTATTGGGTACCGTATTATATTAAACACATTATAATTATTGTTATTACTGGGCAATTATCACCGATTTTGGTGGACGGAGTCCTTAACAGGAAAATGTTCTCTTTCGTCGAAGAAACACACTCCATTTTATTTATTTATTTATTTATTTACAGACGGAAAACTCCATTTTCATAACATACAATCATGGCAAGACATTTCATTCAGACTTACATAGAACAATTCATACATAACATCAAGATGACCTGACTAAAGAACCCTAATAAATAAGAATGTATCAAAATATATCAATATATATAACAATAAATAACAAAAAATGCAATAAATAACAACAATAATTAACAATCAACATGGGGAACAACAAATTTGGTAATTAGCTAACAAAGATAAAAAATCAAAAAACAAGTTCCATTTTGAGGAGGGGACATTATCAGTTGTATAATTATCGATGTAATCGTTGACAACTAAAACACCCAACCTGTATAGTTTCAAAAACTAACAATAAATAATCCACATGCAGTGTATAATTATTAAATAGGTTGACTGAATCTTCCTCTTACCTCTGCACAATTCCTGTCATCGTCATCATCTTTCCGCCTCCTCGTCTCCCTGTCACTTACAAACTTCAACAGCGGGTAGTACCACAACTTAGGTTTATATTCTTCACCAGTCTTTCGAGCATTCTTCACTTTTGCAACCTCCTTCAGGAAAACTGTTCGTAAACTCGCAATCCGCTTCACAACCGTGTTCCTATCGGCGGTCGGTTCGACTTCCTTGTATTTGCTGATCAATGCCTCGTACGCGAGTGTTTTCTTTTGCCTATCGGAGTATTCTAGGCTCTGATGATCCCATAGACAGGGGAAAGTCTTATACAACTGGATAAATTCCGTTATAAACACACGAGAAGAGAAGTCTGCCATGACTCTAGCCGTGAGAACCGATGTGTTTCTTCAACTGAAGTGATAGAGATCGCACGATCACCACAATCAGGGTTGCGCAACCATCAAATCCCGACATATCGCGGCGATATCCCTCCCTCGCTCCCGGCTTCGAAGCGATACTTTCAATGTCGACATAATCGCAACGGCATGACCAATCATACACTCTAATCTTACCGCAACCTTGTTAGGTACTAAAAATTCAGAAATTCAATACAATTTACTGCATGAAGACACCGATACAAGGCATGCAACAACCTGTTCCATCGTTAGGGAAATTTCGTGGTGAGCTGATACGTTGGCAACCCTGCACGCCTGCGCTCCTCGCTCGCTCGACACAAACAGCTGTTTAGATCATCGTCCGCTGCTCGCGCGCGTCGGTTGGTACTTGGTAGTTGGTTAGTAAGTTAGTTGCTGGAGTCCATTCGTTGTTGTGTACATCGTTGATAACATTGTGAATTAAACTTGTTTTTAGTTCGTTTGTGTTCGTTAGAGTGGTTTAAAATTATTTTGGATTATCCTTTGGAAATTTGGTAAGTTTATTGTATCTTTCTAAACTAATTTTTAAAAATTTAGAAAAAATGTTTCATATTATTTTCCGTGTTACAACGCAGTAGGCATACACAAGTTTTTAAATACTGTAGTAAGCCAGTATACTCAGTGTCTTTGGTTTAAAACGCTTTGTTTTTACTGTAAAAATTCAGTTTATGTTTTATTAAAAGAACGCAATAGGCTAGGGCCTAAGTGATTATACATGATACATCATCAGTCATCACGATGCAAAATGCTTGTTTAACATTATCTTGTCTTGACACAAATAGGCATACTCAAACTAACTGTTGTAATTATTTAGGCCTAACAGTTTTATATATTTTCTAATGCCTTGTTTAATCCTGTAAATATAACTTAGATTGTAAAATTGTAAAACACCAACATAATATGTATTTTTTCTAAACATATTTGTATCGTTAAACAATATTAATTCCCGCGTTTAAATAATAAAAAAAATGTTTTACTGCACCAGGGTAGAGGAAAATTAAAATTAAATATAATGCAAAGCGATTACAACATCGTATATTATGACCTGTCAAATACGATTCTAACATTGGAGGAATTACATGAATAAACATATTTTTGGCATGACACACTTGAAATACAGGAACAATTAATTATAGAATTAGAATCGTAATAATTGACATGATAGATTGCATTAGATTACTTTAAAGGTTTATCCCGAAAATTCTTTGACATTAGGCCTGCACATATCTGTAAAAGTTCATCGTTAAAATGTGTGTTATCATATCAAAACAATCAATGACATCGCCACACTAGACTTATTTCCAGTGACGTCAGAGGCGCCGTCGGTAACGCAGATTGTTGGCAATGTGTGTAGACAGGGCTCGAGGGGGTGAACAGGAATCCCGCCATTACAGTATCTGAAGGGGTGGGGAAACCCCACAACGGGAGATGAAACGTGGATGAGTCATCCAAACTCCTACCCCCCATCCAACACAGTTACTATCCTACTATTATAAAATAAAGACATACCTTTAAGCTTTTGACTTAAGGAATTATGTAATTGTGAATGGGAGCTAGGCTAGATTTATTATTTCTCCTAAAGCACAGCGTAGAGAAAAATGTATTTACTTTGTAACACTATTGTGTATTGAGACACGATTTTATATTTTCCATATCCGAGCTATTAATTGTTCGATGCTGTAAATCTTTACTTAAATTCTACTTATCTTATCTGCAGTATGTAAACTTCGGCTAACTTTAAATCAATATGGAAAAACACATCCTCCTATACCCAATCAACTCTTGTAATTTTTTTGTAAAAAAAATACTGAACACTTTTTGGTTTATCTAGGCAAGTTATATGCAGTTAATCTAAATAAATTGTTTCGTACAAGGTTTTAAGGGCCACTTTTTGGACAATGGTCAATAAAACTTCGTCACGAGCAGGATATGGATATATTCTGCCAGATGCCATTGTTTGTAAAAAGGCTGACGTAAATAATCGGGATGGACGATTCCCAATGGGAATTCCCCATATGCCATTGGAAATTCACTTAAATAGTACCTAGTTACATTTTTGATCCATAATAATTCCCAGAAACACCATACTATTACAAAAAATAAAACGTAGAATCACTATACTACTGAAAGTTGACCTTTTATTTGTTTTATAGAATGCATTCAACAAAATCACGCAGGAAGAGGATGATTATTTTGGAATGTAGTGTACGTCGAAGGTTGAAAAGCACAATATGGTACAGTTCCTTTCAAAAGTTGAATGTGACTATATTATTTTGTTTTATCGACCAGTTCTCAATAGGTAGGTATCCAAGATTATTTATCAATTGCCAATTATGTTTCCAAGCGGTTTTTTTATGTCCTCATCGGACGATGTTTATTAGGTAGCTTGAAGCTTGAGCCGAATTAGTTCTACTCTTGTTGGTCAACTTCGCCTTGGCATATTATGTTAGTTGCTTACGAATGAGAACTACGTGTTTTACATAGGTTTTATTCTATTTTGATTCCTAGTCGATTTTTATCGTCGACATCAACTGTTTATTGTGAACTAAACTCCACGTGTGAAAACTGAGTCCAAACAGACAGATCGGTTATTATAATCGGTGTTGGTTCAGCACTCAAAATAGTGCTATCTAATCTGCTGCGTAGCTGCGTTTTGTAATGCATTGAACTCTTCTGTAGACGCGTGAAAAACTGCTGGTGAATTTAGTTAACTTTTTACTCTCTTTACAACTTTGGTCTAATCATGGTATACTCACAGAGAAGTAATATAAATCTTTAAATTACTTCTCTGTGGTCTACTCTTCTATGGTATACTCTTTTAAAATGTTCTAACGTTATCAGATTATTTTGCATTACATCAAACTACATAGTCGAAAAGTGGAGCAGGCATTGAAGTAATTCTTAAAAATTCATTGTAACTAGGCCTATAAATTATGACCATTTGCAATTATCAAGACCCTAGATTAATTGATTATGAATAACGTGAACTTATTCATACCTCCTAAATGTACAGTAATTTTCGTCATCAAATTTATATGTACCGTAATTTATTCGTCAAATAATTATTTAACTCGTTCAACTAGTTCAAGCAAATTGGAAATGATGTGCTCCTCTAACAGCCTTATTATTATTGTGGACGGCTAAAACCCAGACACCACACTCAATTTTGTAATTGCTTGTCTCTTTGGTTTTGACCACACCCAACATGTCTGAGGATTCCAATTACGTTAAGTACTCGTCTATTGTTTGGTGTATTTGTTACGTGTCTTGGAGTAATCCATTTAGTAAAAGAATTAAAAATATATCTTATAGTATTAAAGAAAATAGATCCGAATCCCTGTCCTATAACAACGTTACATAATGTATCCCCTATAAAAAAGTAATTTCTGGCCATATATGGCCATATCAAAATTCCATATATGGTTTCATAAAGCCATATATGGTTTTTTATGGACATATATGGAAGCAGATATGGCCAGATGTGGTTGTATCCATATATGGTGGTGTCCATATATGGTCATATATGTAGTCTATATATGGAATTATTGGCCATATATGGCCATACATGTTTTCTATATATGAAATGATTGTCCATATATGGCCATACATGTTTTCTATATATGAAATTATTGCCCATATATGGCCATAAATATCCTCCATATATGGAATCATGGTCTTTATATGGCCATATATGACTCCCAGGTATGGAATTAAATTACTCATATACGGAATAATAATTTTCCATTTATGCTCATGTATAAATGAGTTTTTGACAATAACTGGAATTATTATAAGGGATAGTTGCCACATTTGGATTTTGTAACTGGACTCCCAAACACTTCTTATAATATATATAATACTATAAATCTTAAAGTTTGTGAGTTTGTGTATTTTCTTGTTGCTCTCGGAAGCACAAACTACTGAACTGATTGAGTTGAAATGTGGTACAGTGGGGGGCAGATAATATAGGCATTTCTCATTTAAAGTAATTAGTAGTAAAGTAATAAAGGATACCATTATTTATCTGTACCATTTTGTTTGGAAAATCATGGGCTTCAATATTATATATAAAACATAAGAAACATTTTTTCAAAAAAAAAATTTTTAGGTAAAAAAAAATATAATTTCGAAAATTTTCAAAAAAAAAATAAGTTCGCGCTCAATGAAATTGTATAAATTATAGGCCTATAAATATTTGAAAATAGCCACTTTGTTCTAAATTTAATGAGGATTACAAATATATAATCATATAGCGAGGTAAGTTATCAAATAAATAAGTTATGAGCGAAAAACGGATTTCAGTACATAGCGTTTAGCTAAGAATGCATAGCCTAACCATAGCTAGGAATCTGGCTGATAATTTACATCAATATCACTACCTACTTCTTCAGGATCATCAACCAGCACTTCAAAACCACTTAAATCTTCTTATAATGCACCACGTATATCACTACTTTTGATTTTTAACACTAAAACAATGATAAACGTAATAAAACACATCAGTCATCGGTCCGGGGGAACCTAGCTGTTTACAAATACACGCACGTCAGCTGTCTGCTACAATATTTTCGGAACTAAAATGAATAGCGCTTAGAGACAGACCTCTGGAGAAAGCTTAGAATATTACGGAAAGAACGATACCTAACTCGATCCAGTTCAATCCGATTCAGTCAGTCATAGAGCCTTCGCCGTAAACGATGTTTGTGCGTCATAAAAGTGACGCGTGACCCTACACAAAGTGTGTTGTGCGTCATTTTTATGACGCGTGACACTCGGAGGGATATATGATCATATCTGGTTATATTTGGTCCAAAACCAAATATAACCAGATAAAAAAAATTTTATATGGCCATATATAAACTTTTTCATAAGGGATCAGATAACAATAACAAAATGTAAATGCATTTATTTGTTAATGCATTTAAATTCTTAATACAAGCCAAACTACCTACCTAACAATCACATACCCTAAAATTCACTTAGAAAAAAATTCACTTGTTTACTTCATTCACACTAAAATTCACTTGTTTACTTTCCTTAGCCGCTATCCAGCATCAGATTATGGTTTGGGGGTGGATTAAAACGGAAATATTTCGTTTGAATAGCCTACCTTCATCTATCAACTTATTTTTAACACAAGTAACTTAAAAACCATTTTGGCCATTGAAAACTTCCGAGTATAAACCAGTCTCCAAACCACATTAACCACTCCAACCACTTGCTCGTGGAGTTTCGACGAAGAGGTCGTTTAGAGTTTGTTTGGTTTTAAAGCCTTACCTCCGTAGTCTATACATCACGTTTGTTTAGTCTACTGAGCTTGAGATGTAAGCTCTGGGAGGTCGTTGAAAATAAAATTGAAAAACTCAAAAGGTGAAGCCTTTAACGGCAACAGCTTAACAGCCAATATCATTTAGTACGATTGATACGTCATAAAGCGTATACTTATTTGCCGTCAAACTATTAAGACCCAATAAACACTCTGATAATGCTGCAA